CTAAGAGGGAAGAAACCGATCGTTACAAAACAATCTGTATTTAGTGTGAGAGAGAGAGAGAGAGAGAGAGAGAGAGAGAGAGAGAGAGAGAGAGAGAGAGATAAATGGAAAATGTCAAATCTTTACCAAATGACAGGTCCGCTCAGTTCACTTGTAGACACAGGATGGGTCGTTACATAAGTGGATCAGGATGACGAGAACTCGGACTCCAGTTCAGGTTGTTTAAAATTGACATTACCCTAAACATCCTTCCCTTTCCCCGACACGACGTAGAGGAACAAAAGGAAAGAAATATTTTTGTTACAACCGTCACCGAGTAGTTTCTACGAGCAGAGCTAGAAATGTTGTCTTACTCGGCGGAAAGTATTGGTGTAGACAGACTGACAGACAGACACACAGAGAGACAGACAGATAGACAGATAAACTCACAGACACACCGACAAACAGACTGACAGATAAACACGCAAACATACATACAGACAGGCAGACAGGCAGACAGGCAGACAGACAGACAGACAAGTAGGCAGGCAGGTGAATATTTAGACAGACAGACAGACAGACAGTAGTAGAGGTTTAACGGCGCTCGCAACTACACAGATAGATAGATAGATAGATAGATAGATAGATAGATAGATAGATAGATAGATAAATAGATAGATAACTGTGCCCGCGCGCGCGCGCGCGCGCGCGCACACACACACACACACACACACACACACACACACACACACACACACACACACACGTGATGTTAGACTGAAGTAGCCGGAGACCAAAATATATCACCATGTCGTATGAACTCATCAAGCAACAGGTGGACGGAGAGAAACGTTTAGATCCTAATCCCTCTCTTCTCCTTCCCTTTCTTTTCTCTCTTCTCCTCTCTCTCTCTCTCTCTCTCTCTCTCTCTCTCTTCCTCTTCCTCCTTCCCCCCCTCTCTCCCTTTTTTCTATGGTTGGCAGGTACTCTGGCATGGTTTGCTCTTTTTATCCCATTAAACCTCTATCATTCTTATCTCTCCTCCTTCTTTTCCTCTCTTGTAACACATCTAATCTTCGGTTCTTACTTGATCTATTTTGTGTTGCAAGTGCCGCAAAACACATGTTGTTATCGATCCAGCGCAAAACACACAACGTCTACTAAAATGGAAGACGTTTCCTTCTCACTTTACCACTCGACCCCGTCGCCTTCCATAATATTCTCTCTCGCTCCCATTTCTCCCTCTCCTCTCTCCCTCCCATCTCTCTTCACTGTCTGCCTGTCTATCAATCTCTCTTCTCTCCACACACACACACACACACACACACACACACACACACACACACACACACACGCACGCACAAATGGCGCACGCGCACGGAGAGAGAGAGAGAGAGAGAGAGAGAGAGAGATTGTTATACCCCTCCCCCCTCCCATCTTCTCTTGTTTCAAGACCCCATAGGCCAAATAGCATAAAATAGGGCAGGGCTTTTATATAATATATTATTATTATCATTTGCTTTTGGAAGCGCATCATGTTTATATACAATCACGTATCGAAGCTTTTTTCTTGCATTTTCTCAATTTTCTATATGCATGTATTATATGCACTGGCGTCTGTGGTGTAGCACTTTAGCGTTAGATGATTGCATGATGAAGACCCAAGTTCTATTCTCGTGTGAGAAGACTTTTTGTTGAGTTTCTCGCACTCTTCCTGCTGGGGATGGTGTAGTTTTCCCAGCCTGGGTGATGTCCCAACAAGTAGGGCCGAAGCCCGCATCCTAAATGATCTAACTTGTCTCGATGGATGAGTAAACACATTCTTTTTTTTTAAAGGGGTGGGGGGATAAGTTGTGAGCCCTGCCAACAAAATGAGTTTAAAGGCCTGCTTGTCGGATTTTAGCCCTATACGGATAAAGTAACATCAAACTTATATGTTGAGTTTGAAAACTTTATTAGAATGAATTGATAAAAGGCATAATATATATTTGATGAGAGTGGTATCAGTTGAAAATCTACAAATCTGACCCCTGTGACGATTTTTGGCCAATATCCCCATTCATGAATTGCGGGAAGTGACTCATTTTTTTTAGGACACTGCACATATCATGTCAATACCACCACTACTAGTTTATCTATCTTTTGTTGCACATCTGAAAATCTAAAAATGTTTGTAAAGGCATATTAAGTACTTTCTTTACTCACCGAATGCTTTGTTTTTTTCTACAGGCAAACGCATTGCTGAGTCCGCTTTCAACTTCCTAGACAAGTACCTGTCTGATGACGATGGTACTGAGAGCCACATAGATAGCCCACCTATGTCTCCTGGTGGTTTGAGAGGTATGGAAAGATGTATATTATTATGTTGTATACTAGAACCTTTCTCAAACCTTTATTTGTGGGTGGTTGGCAGTTGCTCTAGTGCGGTATGCCCCTTCTTTCCCACCAATTTTCATTGCCATTGTGGCTTGGTAATCATACTGAGATGACAGATAAGATGTTACAGCCCATAAAAGATACATATTCTGGGTAAAAAGATAATTATAGCAATAGTTAGAATATGGTTTAGATTTTTTAGGTAGGCCTACTGATTTAAGACAATTTTTTTTAAAGAAACACATAAAAGTCCAAACGAGCTTGCAGAGCGGATGATATGAACAGGAAGATTAATAGAATTCATCGAAAAGAGAAAGAAAACTGAAGGTGAATGAAAGGAATGGTTTCATTTGTAGCCTACGTATGCATGAAAGATACGGGGTGGGGGGGGGGGGAGAGAGATTTGAGTCCTGTGAAGTGATGACTGTTAATTGAGGAATGTTAGGTTGCCATTAGATGAGGAGTGTGAAGTGACAGCAATTCGACTGTCCTCTGACATCACTATTGATAGCCTTGCAGTAGACTACTGTGGACACATTGTAAAGCTTTAAGCTGTAAACATTATTGACATTAGTTGCTTGTGTTTTTAAATTGTCTTTGCCTTACTGTGAAAATGAGCTTTACAAAATTATATTATCATACATTTGCCTTCATTCATCAATGTTGTTGCTTCTTTTAGTCAAAGTCAATAACCGCCCCTACTTCTGCTGTTTCAAATGGTTTAATACTCTTGTCACTATTTTTAGATATTGATGGATACCATATTTGTGTTATTTTTCTTCTCACAGCTCAAGGTGTTGTAGACTGATGACTACCATAGAGCTGTAGCTTTCCCATTTTCGACAAAGTTTGAAGCAAAGAAAGTTCTGCACTCACTTCAGGCTGAAGGCAGAAACTCCAAGTTTATGGGCTGACTTAGAGGGAAGTCACCTCTTGAAGGAGAATGACTGAAAGAAAGCGGGCTGGGAATTTTTGAACCAGTCACAGATTGGGGCATCTGCCCACCTTTGCTTGTACCGACTGGGCTTGTGAACCACTTGTCATTTGTTTCATAATGGCTATTTAGACATTCCAAGTTGTCCAGTTTGAATTTTCGTTAAAAGCAATAGACTTATATAAATAGAACTGATGCAACGGAGACATTAGAAATATATTTTTTTTTAATGTGCAAATTTCAATAAGACCCATCAAGCAATTGAGTCTGTGAAATTGAGGTGTTCTTTTTCCAGGGATACGTGAGGCTGTTGCTGTTAAATTATTTGGGTTTTGATAATGTCCATATAATTATTATTAGGATGCTAATGCTTTACAACATTTGAGTCATTTTGGAAAGTTCCTCACAGACTAAGATGACCAAATTTTAATTCTCCAATTTTTCCATAATTTTGCAGAAAGGTGGATGAGTTTATTAGGTTGTTAATTATCCCCATGAAAACAGACCAAATGTTATTACCCTTTCAGTTAACTTTTTGCTTTTCATAGACTGAGTCTTAACAACATTTATAGTACAGGGAGCAAACCAAAAGCATTATTTGAATGTCTGTGATTTTTTAATCCAGAATGTAGTATGAGTACACTTATGTTCCATTTTCACTATGAAATGACGTCATTAGACTTCAAACAACAGGGTCAAAAGATAAGTCTTACGTGCTTTAAAGCCACGATTACAGATTTGAAATGTGTCATCAAAACACAAGTGTCTTCTCTGTTTTCTTAAGATTCTAAATTTTTTGGTCTTTACTGGTTGAAAGACGGGTTTCGCATGTTTTCTCAATGCTTGTCTAGTGTGATCAGGCATAAGTCAATGTGATTTAGGAACAAGGGACTATTATGAAGGGTGCGTTCAGGCATAAATTATACAGTAAGTCATTTTCATCAGCATCGGTTCACTTACTTTTTTACCCATCCTCATATATATATTATAATACTATTGATGTCACCACTGACATTTTAAAGGATTTTTAGGGTATTAAAAATAGATGAGGGGACCATATTGATTTATTGTAAAAACTTTGGCAAAAATGCAACGTATAGAGATATATTTTTTGTGATAAAACTAAGTGTGAGGTGTGATGATGATGTGTATGATGTGTGTATGAGACCAAGTCCATTTTTTTTATCACATATGCACATAGATAGATAAATTGTGTATGTGTAGGCAACTGCATGTTATTGAAAGTGTGCTCTTGCATTTGCATTTGCTTGTGTGTGCAAACATGTAAAATGATTTACATAGATATGTTTGTATTTTTGAGTGTAGGGCCTATGTGTGTGTGTCCGTGTGTGTTCCTGTGGCTGTGTATATGTATTAGTATGTATGTGGGGTCATGTGTGTCCGTACATATCTTTTTACGCCTATAGCCTCCTTTCAATAGTGATATGCATGAAATGCATGACATCATTATTATTATTATTATTATTATCATTATTATTATTATTATTATTATTAATATTATTATTATTATTATTATTGTCATCATCATCATCATCATCATCATCATCATTATTGTAAAATAGCAAGGAATAGAAAAGGTTGAGACTTGTAGAATTTCCAAATTTTATAAAGGTCCAACGTTTCACCAGGTAAAGGGCTGCATCAGTAACATACAGAAAAATAATGTAAGATCTAATGACTACAAGCTATAGGAACCAAAGTGCACGCACCTACATCGTCATCATCATCATCATCATCATCATCATCATCATCATCATCATCATTATAAAAACAACTATAGCCTAACAATAATGATACTGATAAGAATAAGAATAATAAACAACCTGATATTGTTATTATTTTTATTATACATGTATTAGCGTAATTGTCATTCTTATGGTTATGCATTCGTTAGAATGAGAAGGAACATTTTTGTCAATAGGATATATGAGGTAGTGTGGTGAAATCAGGTGCTCGTCAAGAAAACTAAATTGGAGAAACAGGAATTTTCCCGCCAGTTTAGAAATTTTTATCGAATTTTTATTTTTTGGCTTAACCTCTTTTATGACCATATAAAAATACTTTTTTATGATAATTTTATTGAAAAACCCTGATTAAAAGCTCAAAATAATATAGTATAATTTTTCGGTTTTCAAAGAGTCTTTAGCTGTTGAGTTTATCCAACATTGGCGGTTATTTTCTCGCTAATTTCACCACTGAAACCAGGCGACTTTAGTTCTTTCAATAGCAAATATCTTGAGTTATATTCAAGATAAATAGATATTTATTTAATTGGAATCAAGGCAAATTAATCAGCTTTCAGATAATATCAATAACTCCACATGCCCAAAAATTGACGAGCGCCTGATTCCACTGCGTTGTGACACATATTAAATAAGTAATAAAATCTAATTTTTTGTGAGACATAAATTTCTAGGTGTGGCTTTCAGAAACATGTATATACATGTATGCACATGTGTGCGTACACACATGCACACACACACACACACACACACACACACACACACACACACACACACACACACACACACACACACACACACACACACAAAGGCACACACACACACACACACACACACACACACACACACACACACACACACACTCTCTCACACACACACACACACACACACACACACACACACATACCCACACACATCACACACACACAGATACATTTCAAAACATTTTTCCCCTTTTTGCAAGCATGTTGATGCATTCCTAGGATGGAAGACACTGGGTTTATTATCACAACCACGACTGTTAAGCATGCTAAGAAAATTGTTTTTCACCATTCCAGTTTTATTAACTTAATCCTTAAAGAAATCATGTGTTTTAAAAGGTACAGCATATCAAAATACATTCTTGCTATATGCAGTCTCTCCCCCCCCCCAACCCTCCACAATAATGCACCTTTGTATCAAGTTCTGTTGATTAATATAAATGGCAGTTGATGTTAATCAAGGTTTTGTGGTACACTGTATATACTTATCCTAAGTGCCTGTTAATCATAGACATAGCCATTGTGTTGCCAATGCCATGCCATGCCAATTGCTTCCACACACACTTACCAAAACACTTTAAAGTATTTGTATGTGAAATCATCCCAAAAGCATTTATATTTGTACAACTGCTTTTTATAGACAGTTCAAAACCTGTCTGCCTGTAACTAGTTATTACCTAACCTAACAAACATTAATTACTCATAAGTCTTGGTGTAGGGCCTATACATTGTGAACTAAAAAAGTAAGCTGATAGTTATAGTCTGACATGTGCCTTTTGTGCGCTAATACAAACATATATAATATGCATATTCTGAGTATTTTTGTGATGGGGCAAGTTGCTGTGAATATACAATATTTTGATAAATATTTCTTGATGAATATTTAATTTTTTTTTTAAAGATGATAACGGCACACATAAGTCACATATCTAAGTCAATCAAAACTCACAGGAAAATCCGCATTGGAATTATTACGTTTATCTTGGTTTACATAACTACCTTGAATGCGTTCCAAAATGCACTGTTTACTCATTTTCGTGCGTTTGGAAGGTATTACCTGCTTACACTGGCTACTTCAACAGAGAATATTGAGAAATGCAGAGCACTCATGATGGTTCTAGTCATGTTTTCAGATTTGCTCTTTGTTGTTTTGATTTTTTTTAACGTATTGTAGAAGAAGGGGCAGACAGGTTACGTACTGAGGAGAAATAAGTGTATGATCTTTGATTTGTCTTTAGCATTCATCGTCTTTGCCCTATCATGTCTCTCTGAGATCTGTTCTGTTCGAGAAATTTTGCAAAAGTAGGTAAAAATGCGAACATTGTTTGTGTAATAGTGTCATTTGAAAAGGTCAGTTAGTGTACAATTGAGTTACCGAATACACACACATGTATTATTGTCTGTGGAGAGGACATATTTATACTGGGAGTGCAACAGACTTTGATTTACCTTTCCTTTTTAAATTTTTAGTAAAGTGTTGTTATGAATAGTTCTTCAGTAATATTTAGCCTACCTTAGTGAACTTACAGTACCATTGATGCAGACCCTGAATGGATTGTGAGTTGTTCCAAGTATAGGCTCCTCATTCTAAGGGAGGTGATTCCTTGTCCTGATGTGGAAAAGAACAATAATAATTGCACCCTCTCGCTCCCAAATGTGATCTTATTGTGGTAAAGAGAGCATCCCTTCGAATGTTCTGTATGGCATATAATTATTACTATAACATCATCTGTATCCTTCCTTAAGTCTGTTTTGTGAGTGAAGCATTATTATGGTTGCAGGAAATATTTATAGTTAATGATAAAATGGATAGCACTTATTGGGAAATCCTTTTTTTTTGTGTGTTTTGTTCGTTTGAAATTATTTTTCGTCTGTCCTTTTGAGAATAGTAAGTAGCCAATGGGAAGGGGTAGGATGCCATTTTCGTTCTGATAATTTTAGTCCGGTCAGTGAGTACTTCCAGTCTGTGACTCATTCCTTTACATATTTTGCTTTATTTTTTTCCGTCCCTTTGTTCATTGTCGATATAATTGGCAATAAGTTTTGTTTCGGAGTATCTTCAGTGCTGAGTTTGGTCTTAACAAATCCTTCACTTTACCTTTTCATACTCTGCAACTCACGTATAGCTGCTTCCAGTACCCAAAACTCGTATAAATATATTACCTTTGTATGCCTCAAATTACTTTAAAGAACAATGATCTTGTTACTATATTATCTTTGAGGGGGAAAGTTTTGAAGACTGTTTGTCTACTTACTGTTGATAGGGTCTACTATGTTATGTTTCTCTGTTTGACTGTTGACAATGGACAGACATAATTTGAGTTGGCCCTCACATACCCACCATTAATGTGTAAATGATATGTACATAATATTTTATGATGCAAATGATATACTATATACACAAATGGAGTGAAATAAACTTACTATCGATGGAACAACGAAAAATCATTTTGGTCTTTTTTTTTGGTGTTCTTTGTCTGTACTTTATGCCACTTTTTAAGCTCTTACAAACATCAGAGGTCCACTCCTGTCTGCAGCTTACATAATGCACAAAGCGCACTTTCTTAGGTCTATTAATATTATTATGGCAGACTTACTTCCTCAAAAATGAAGAGCACAGCAAAATGTGAGGGCAATGGATGGGGAAAATGTGTGTGTTTTGTATGTCTGTGTGTGCGGGAGAAAGGGGGGGTGGATATGATGTCACTTTTAATTAGTCAATTATGAAGATGATATTGGAGAGGAGGGGGGGTGACATCATAATGGATGGTCCTCATCACCGTCGATTAAGTGGCTCTTTCTGTGATAAATGTAAGCGTCATTATGTAATCAATAGGAGAACAAGCTTTTTCTATTTGGTTTGTTTTGCGTTTCTCTATAGGCCTACGCCTTATAAAGGCTACTTTCCAGCCGTTCACTCGAATATGTTATGCTGATTGGTAGGTGCTCTGGTGTGGTTTGCTCTTTCTTTCCTTTCAAACATCGATCATCCTTATCTTTTCACTTCCTTTTGTTTGCGTGTTGTTACTCTCTGGTAATATTATTATATCGTCGGCTAGATGTTATAATGCCACAAGTCCTGAAAACAAAAAATATACGTACACTTTGTGAAACTGGTACAAAAAGAAGGTACAGGCATTATCTATTCGTTGAGATAGGTCATCTCGTATGGCTAAGTATATTTTATATTTTGCCATCCTCTTGTAACGCTGATGAGATTGCGGGTGTGTGTGTGTGTGTGTGGGGAGGGGGGGTCGAGCGGTTTAATTACGTAAGAAACGTGATTTTCTTGAGAACAAATCAGCATGTAGATTCCACAGCTGTCATATTTCTTACAAATTATTGACAGTTTTGCAGACCTATAAAAGACAGCGCATAAAAGTTAGCATGGCACCGTCTGACGAGAAACAAAAAAAAAGTGCTCGTAGAGACTGTTGTACTAGTTTGTTCAGTCATCCTCAAACTGCACTCTTGACAATAGTATTTTACTTAGCAAAACCTTGCTTCTTCTGTGAAGGAAAGTGCGTTTTTAACAAAGGTGTAGCTTAGTTTTCAAGCCTTAGT